GCTACAGAGTGCTGTTTCCCACCATGGCACTTTGACCACCCATTGCAAGACTGGGGGTTGGCACCTGGTGGAGTCAGAATGAGGAGAGCATTCTGCAGGGATGCCCCCTCTCTGGCCCTGCCTGCAGACGCATGTCACGGTTCTTTATAGGGCAGAGTGCCGACTGAATGGGCCGAGGGCGGTGACTGCGGACGGCAGCCACCCTCCGGCTAGGGAGTTCTGCAGCCCGAAGGACCATTCGGGGCACGCCCCCAGCGTGGTCAGGGAGTGACCATAATACATCCATCATGCCACACTCATGCCACAGCCACTCTGGAAAGGAAAGGGGGGGCTGGGCAGACACCCCCGCTCGCACACGCACCAAAGCAAACCAAGGGGGAGGGGAAGGCAACCCAAACAAGGAACACAAACCAAATGAAAACCCATGAAGCGAGCGGTGAACTACCTGGTCCATAAGGCAGCTCCTCTGCAGTGCTATGGGGGAGCCTGTGATAGCCAAAGGAACTGAAAAGAGGCAGATGGGAATGTGGTGGAGGAGGTGGAGGTGGAGGCAAGAAATGGAACGGATGGGACGAGGAGTCACCGTTAAGCACAGCCGCCCTGGGAGCTGGGAGCGGGATCTTTTGGTAGTGGTGGGGAATGGTGACTGCGCCCCACGGACCTGCTAATAAAAACATAACAAGAGACAAAATGAAAAAGAAGCAAATAATCAAGAGACACGTAAAGCCACCAAAACCAACTGGCCAAAACGGAAGCCAAGCCAAGCCAGGAAGGAGCGCCGCGTCGCACCCGGACCCCTCGGGAATCCAGCCCCTCCGGGCTGCAGGGACTGGACCCAACCCCAGAGGGCAGATTCCAGCTCCCCGCCGTGAGAGCCTCCCCGGTGCCGGCCGGCTGGAAACCAACAGGCCACAGAACTCCAGGCGGCCTCTCTCCAAACCCAAATGGAACAGCAGTGCCTGGACCACACGGTCGCTAGCTGGCAGAGACCAGAACCCGCTGGGCCAAGCACTCTGCCCCTCGGCTACAGGACAGGCAACGAGCGCCATCAGGGCCCGAGGCTCAGCGGGATTTCCCCTTGACGCATGCCTGACCTTGCAACCAGTGGCGGGCAGCAGTGTGCGGACTCCCACTAGCACCTCCCAGCCGGAGCTGGGGAGGCAAATCGCTCGCGCTGACCCCGGCCCTGTCCCTGGGAGCGACACCAGCCACCCTCCAGAGCGGGACACGGCCATCACCACGGGACAAGGGGCTTGGGCACACACAACCTGCCCCTCCGCTGGGTACACCCAGGGACAGCCAGCGACTGGGGCAGGTGCAGGAGCCGCACGCTGGCTTCCCGCTGCTAGAATAACCTCCGGGATTAAGAAGTGTGAGCCGTCCAGCACTCAGCTCTACACGTAGCTCTGGAAACGAGACTCCAGATCCCGCACAAGCAGGCAGCAGCCTGGCCCGTCACAGCCCGACGCACACTCTGGGTCCAGCAAAAGCCACCTGATCATGTCCCCCCCATTCACACCCCAGGAAGAACTCTCCCTCCTCTGCTCCCTGCACAAACACCCCAGCCCCTGGCCTCCTGACACCTGGTTCCCTGGGCCAGCCATTGAAGCTGGTGTGTTTTCCATCCTTTGGGAGCAGGTCTCAGTGCTCCAGGGGTGTGCTGGGGAGGGGCCCCATTTGCCTCTTTCGTCCAAGCCAGGGGAGGCACCTGGAGGACTGAGAGGGCGCTTTGATCAGAGGGGGCATGAAGGCCCCAGCACTGCATGCAGCACCGCAAACATGCAACCCCCAAGGTCTATCGTAGGACCCTGGCAGCTGCCACTCCAAGGCCCTGGCTGGCACCAAGGCTCAGAGCCCAGAACGGAACGGCGAGAGGCCGAAGATTTACAGCTCATGGGATTACTTTCCTTGCAGTGCCAAATGAAAAACACCCACAGCTCTCCACGAAGAGCGGGACGGATCTGCGTCTCCACCAGGGAAACAGCCCCTGAGCCACGGCTGGGGGGGGTCTCATTGCTTTGAGGAACCCGCCTGCTTTCTGCAGCTTGCCAAACTAAAGACAAATCTCCTGGTCTCCCTGAGCTGCAGTGATAACCACAGCTCTGGCACAAACTGATGTTCATAGAATCATAGAATATCCGGGTTGGAAGGGACCTCAGGAGGTCATCTAGTCCAACCGCCCGCTCAAAGCAGGACCAATCCTCAATTTTTGCCCCAGATCCCCTAAATGGCCCCCTCAAGGACTGAACTCACAACCCTGGGTTTAGCAGGCCAAGGCTCAAACCACTGAGCTATCCCTCCCCCGCACATTCTTTCGGCGCATTTCTGTGCCCTGGTGCCATCAGCCAGTGTTGGAAAAATCGCCCCATAACAGAGCCTCTCCCTGCCTTGCTCTCTTCAGACGGCCAAAGAATGAAAGGTTACCCAGGTCTGGCTCATTTCAGCTCTAACGTGAAGGCTGCCACCCCCTGGGTGTGCCCCATGACCGCCAGCTGGGCTAAGACCCCACAGTGACCGCGGAGCTAGGTTAGAACTCGACAGCAGATGGGATCCAGTCACCACGTCGCTGGACGCCACCCCCATGACCGTGCCACTGGGCCGAGCCTGGGCCCGCTCCCTGCAGCAGTCCTTGGATCCTGCTACCGGGACGGTGCAGAGCCTGTGGTCCAGCGGCTCCTCAGCTAACGCGCCACGTCACCGCAGCTCAGCCAAAGGCATGCCGCGATCCACGGGACCACCCTGGCTGAATCGCTCCCTGCCCGCTCCTTGGGCTTTCAAGTGTGGCTCTCTGAACAGCGACGCGGAGTCGGCAGCACCGTGCACTTGGTCTCCCAGGACTCCGGGGCAGAGGGATTCAGGTTACCAATCAGGAGATGGCTTTTCTAGCCGACAGCCCTGCAAAGAGCCTGGGATCTGAGCGCCAGGCCGGGCTGTGCCCGCAGTGCGCCTCATCCCCAAGGACAAAGGACAAGGCCCCTGCCTTAGGAATTCCGCGTGGCCCCATTGCCTTGCCCAGGTTTGCCCTGGTGCAGCCAGTCAGGGCTTGACTCTGCCGGCAAAGCACAAGAGGGAATGGCTCCAGCTCACCCCACCGGGGCCGCACTTCCTCCCCCTCCCCGCCTTGCACTCAGGTGACCCAGGTGGAAAAGACGACAAAAGGTGGAAGGCAGGGGAGAATGAGGGCCCCAGGGCGGGTTAGCAGGGCTGGCTCGGGGGAAAGCGTCTCGATTTGTAAGCTGAGCCAATCGGATCTGACACCCCTGAGGCCAAGGTGACCCGACACTCCGTTCTTAGAGCCACGTTCCAGAGCACAACAGCCTTCCCGGAGGATCTCTGGGCTCTGGCGCGTCTCCAAGGTCTGAGCTGACCTCTCTTCCGACACACTCGTTTTCACCCTGATGCAGCCCCTGCTGCCCAAGCCCGGAGCCAGCTTCCTCCACAGACCCAGGAGCCGCAAAAACCTCTCCCGACAGGTGACGCCGCAGACAGGTCAGGACCCTGGTCTGGGGGGAGCTGGTGAATGGTGAAAACTGGCCTGTGCGAGGCAGGGGCTCTGCCGTAGACCCCCCGATCCTATGGGCATGAGACACACAGGAATTGCAGCCAGAAACTCGACTGCCTGGGCAGCCAGCTCGCTGAGCAACTGGTGTCCACACACCCCTGGGGTGTGCCTAGGCATGGCCAGGGAGCTGCTCTCGCCCCCTGCGGGGTGTACCCCATCGCAGGGCGTGGGCTCCCCACCTAGGAAAAGCTGGGAGTCGCTCCAGAGCCATTCCACGGGTTGGCCAGCAGGGGGTGTGCAGGAGAAGCTCTTCCAGCCCCTCCCCAGCAGACCCCCTCTGCACCTGGCTAGCATGTGGCTTCTACCAGCTGCCCGGGCATCCGCTCCCGCCCCCCAGGTGCTCTCCCAGCCTGCCCCACCCCGCCAAACCCCACTGGGTGCTCTCCCCCGCGTCTGCCCTGCCCTGCCCCCCCACCAAGCACAACCCCAGCCCTCTCTAGGAGCAGGGTGAGAACCCCAGAGCCGCCCCAGCTAGAACGAGACACGCTCCAGCGCAGAAACCTCCCCCACTCCCAGCACCCAACCCCGCTCCACCTCGCAGGCAAGCCCCTGGCATCGCGCCCCAAAGAGCCACGCCCAGGCCCATGGAGGGCATATGGCCCAGAGGGGAGATCCCCTCCGCTGCCGGCGCGGCCCATGAGAGCTGATCTCCGCTGGCAGGGAGAGAGCAAAGGGCCGCATGGCCCAGCCTGGATGGCAGTGGGTGCCAGGCCAGCACAGAGGGTGGGCACTGCGTGCCCCCATGGCCGGCTGCAGCGCTCAGCATGTGCCTGCATAGCCTCCCCTCCCCCGGGGGCAGGGTGCCACAAGCCAGCCGGTCACTGCGCCCCTGCAGGGTTTGCGCGGGAACAGGATCGTGGCCCCTTGCCAGCTCCAGCAGCTCCGGTCCTCGGGGCGGTGCTACAACCAGCTGCTGTGGAGAGGAGCAAGGCCCTGGGTGTGGGGAGGGCAGATGGGCTACTAAGAACAGAAATCCAGGGCCAGATTCAGAGCAGCGGTGCCGGAAGGGGTGACTTCCCGCTCCGCGGCGGGGCAGCTATGACCTGTCCCATAGGAGCTCTGCCAGCTGGGAGCCGCACAATCAGATCTGGCAACGCCCCTTCCCCAGCCAGCCACGCCCACCGTTGAAGCCACGCCTCTCCACGCAGGCCCCAGGCCACATCACGTGGGACCTTGGCCACGGCCGAAGCCCCGGAGGAACCTGGCCCCGCGCTCCCATCTCAGCTGAAAGTCGGAGCAGGGCTCGCACTCGCAGGGTCCCTGCTCCTGGCGGCATCTGGCAGTGCCCCTTGTACCCTCCCACGCTACCCGTGGGGCTTATGGGGCTTGCAGGCCCATCCGGGGAGACCCAGCCCAGGCCCGGTGCCTGGGTGCTGGGTACGGAGGCGGCAGGGCCTGACGTGCGCCGGGCGGGGGTTGGGGAGGGACGGGTATTTGCCTGTGCGCTTGCTGATCGCTTCCACGAGGCTGGACGGGAAATAGCCCACGCGGTCATTGCCGGTCCGGTTGTCATGGATACAGCCCTTCCATCTGCCGTCCGCATGCTGCTCCAGAACCTGCACAACAGAAAGGCCTGGAGAGGGGGGCGCTCGCTGGCGGGACTGGGGCCCGGCCGTGGGGACGGGAACCACCGGTGAGAGCCAGCCGGCGGAAGAGGAGGGGGCAACATCCTGCTCCAAGCGCCTGCCAGCGAGGGCTGGTACCCCGGGCTGGCACCCCGGGCTGGCGGCTGGTGATCTGCTGCACCCATCTCGGCAGCAAGGGGGCAGTGGCACTGGGAGGGACCATAGGGAAGGGCCCGGCGCTGGCCAGGTGGTGGGGTGGGGCAGGGACCGTAGGGAACAGCCCGGCGCTGGCCAGGCGGTAGGGTGGGGCAGGGACCGTAGGGAACGGCCTGGCGCTGGCCAGATGGTGGGGTGGGGCAGGGACCGTAGGGAACGGCCCGGCGCTGGCCAGGCGGCGGGGTGGGGCAGGGACCGTAAGGAACGGCCCGGCGCTGGCCAGGCGGTGGGGGGGGCAGGGACCGTAGGGAACGGGCCGGCACTGGCCAGGTGGCAGGACTAGAGGGGCAGGCAGAAGGGGCAGTCCGTGTCCATCTCTGCCCAGGCACGACTCTGAAAGCAACCAAGAACGCGTAAAGGGCCGAACTCGGTGACCGACGGCTCAGACGTTGGGGGCGAGTCTCCTGCCAGCCCATGGACTTGGGTGGCAGCCCCATCCCTCCAACATGAGGGCGGGCTGCTCCCATCTCTGCAAGCGCTGGGTATGGCCAGAGCGCTGCTGCCTTCTGCCTCCCTGCCCAGCCCCTCGCTATGGGGGCAAGGGCTTCTCTAGTCCTTTCCCATCCCGGCTAGTCCTGCCTTCTCCGACCGGGCTCTTTCTACCCTCCTCGGCATTGGTCCTGCCACCCGCAGCCCAACTGCAGCCTGAGCCCACCACTGCGGGTATGCCAGCAGCTGCCTGGGCAGCTTGGTGCCAGCGAAGGGCTCCTGGCTTGGGGCACTAAGGGGCAGTAGGCTCCTCCCTTCCCGTGAGCAGAGGGGGGCTGAGGGGCAGGCTGCTGGAGGGAGGGGACTTGGGTCATGGGGGCCGTGAACCCAGCCCCAGCCTGGCCCACCGCTGCCGGCACTGACCGCGCCCGGCTCTGCAAGCAACTCACGGTGATGACGTCTCCGGCTTTCACGTTCAAGCTGGTCAGGTCGTAGTTGTTGCAATAATCTTTAACGGCCCTGACCTGCAGCGCTGCCGAGGCATCTGCCGAGAGAGCAGGAGGGAAGCGTCGGAGAGAAAGCTCCACAAAGTAACCTCCCTCCCCCGCCCCCCAGCAAGAGCTCTGGGCTCCCTGGCGAGTAACAGGGGACAGGAGTCCCCTGTAGCTAGAGCAGCGACGAGAGAGCACCCACTGCTCCAGCAATGAACCGCGCCAACCCGAACCTGCGTGAGCACTAGACCGGACTATCCTGTTCAGCCACAAGCAGGCGCCATGTGTAGCCGAACCTCAACCAGGCCCGGCAGAGCATTACAGGATCCTAGGATGAACACAGTGGGTGTCCAAGTGAGCTCTGTGCCCGGTCCACATCTGGTACAGAGCCCCTGCCAGGGAGCCCACAGCCCTTTGCAGAATCAGAACCGAGTCACCTGCCACTGACAGGCAGCCACCTCTGGGGGAAAACGTGGCAGCTGTTTAACAGCAATACCACTGAAGGGCTGAGAACAGTGATAACGGACATGACTGTCCTGGAGCAGGAGTTAGGCCGGGGCACATGCACTCCAAGCAGCTCTTGAGTTGATACACTCGACCTTCAGAGGTGGGTCAGAGTCCAAGCCCCAAGCCCATCAGGTGGCCGGGAGCTCCCTGCGCGTAGCTCTGCCTGGGCTGGCCAGACACTGGGCCACAAATCCCCTTCCTGGTGCAGAGGAGCCGCGACTTCGCCTCCTGAGTGTTAAACGCCTCAGCCGGGGGGGGGAGAGCATGAGGGGCCGCGGCGTGAGCCCAGAACTCACCTCCCACCCCAGGGCGGCAGAGCAGCTCAGAGCCGGCTGGGAGTCACCGCCCTGCCCTTGGCAACAGCAGAGCAGGCAGGGGCTCTGCTCCCATCAGCACGGATGGCAGCCAGCGGAGTGCACTGCTCCCCCACCCTGGTGGGAAGGGAGGGGACCCCAGGCACCCCCAGCACCCACCCCTGGAGGGAACCCCCCGTACCCCGCAGCATCTGCTTGATCTCCTTGCTGGCTTGGGTGGCGGTGAACTGGTGGACGATGTCCAGCGCCGTCTGGCTGTAGGTGTTCCGGATGTGGGCGTTGATCCCGCTCTGAAATACGGAGAGACCGATGCGGGGAGCTCCAGGCTGGCCACGGAGCTGCCCCCTCCCCCCCACTGGCCACAGCAGCCACACCCAGCCTGCCGGCAGCTCAGGGGTGCCACGGCGAGACCAGCGACTCCCGCTGGGACAGACGCCCACATGCTCTCGGCCTCGTGAGCCACGCGTGGGCTCAGCAAACGGCCCCCCCCAGGCTAGCACCACCCAGCCAGCTGCATCGTGGGAGCTCCGTGGAGGCCTGGGATTGGGCAAGCACTGGCCAGTGCCCACTGCATGGGCAGCATGTGGTCTGCAGGAACCAGCGCGAAACCCACGGGGTGATTGGGGGCGGGCTGGTTATAGGGGACTGGGGGGGGTCACAAAGCAGCCTCCCCTCCCCTGCAGTCCAGGGCGAGTCAACGCCCCACTCCTGGCTCTGCCCACGGGGGGAGGAGAACCCAGGAGGGCCCCACTTCTGCAGGGATGCCCCCTGGACGCGACAGAGGCCGAGCGGGTTTGCACATTGGACTCTCTCTCTTGGCCCCCCTCCTTCCCATTCACTTCCTCCTCTCAGCGGCCCCCCGCTGCAGTGCATCGGGCAGCAGCAGAGCCCCCAAGTCCAGAGCGAGGGGCTCCTGCTAGCAGAGCCGGGGCGGGGGGCAGAGCCGCCGCGCTGGCTGGGTAACTGGGGCAGGGGGTGAGCAAACACGACAGCCAGCGGTGCCCCAGCCCTGGCACAGCCGAGCCGCCCTGGGGCCGAGCTGTCAGTCACCGGCCTCCTTCTGCCGCCTTCCCCCGACAGAGCGCCCCCAGGAGGGTGGGCTCCAGGAATGACTCAGCCACACCACTCGGCATGGCCCAGCGCCCCAAGGACATCGGGGGCAGCTGGGCAGGGGGACGCTCATTTCACGGTCCCCTGGCAAGCCAGGCTGAGACCCTCCTGCACTGGAAGGGGCCCGCTAATGCCCTGATCCTGCCCTGGCAGAGCCGTCCATGGGGAACGGACCATGTCCTGTTCTGGCACCAGCCCTGCTACCCCAAGACAGGAGAGCTCCTCTGCCCCGTTCAGCAGCTCCCCCCGCCCCCCCCCCCAGCACATGCAGCATGACACAGGGGCCCTTACGTCCAGCAGGAGGCGCACCACGTCCGTCTTGCCGCACAGGGCTGCCTCGTGCAGGGCTGTGCCCGCCTTGGTTTGCCGGTTGATGTCGATGCCAGCCTGCAGCAGGAGCCTGCCAAAACGGCGTCCAACAGCGGTTAGTGACGCAAGCCGGGGGAAGGGGGGGAGAACAGGGGCAGGCGGGTGCAAGCTCCCCACATGCAGCTGTCCCGGCACCCCTCACTCCTGACCGGCAGCCCCCCGCCCGCCCAGCCCTGCCCTGCCCCACAGCTCTGGTGCTGCCCCTCAATCCCGACCCGCAGCCCCCTGCCAGCCCAGCCCTGGGTTCCCCCCCACAACAGCTTTACCAGTGCCCCTCACTCCTTACCCGCAGCCCCCTGCCAGCCCTGCCCTGCCCCCCAGCTCTGGTGCTGCCCCTCAATCCCGACCCACAGACCCAGGGCAGGGGCTGCTGTTTATGCCAGATTCTGTGGCAATTTCGTCCCGCACCCCAGCCCCTCTCGTGGGTGTTTTTCCCTTGAGTTGCCGAAGCAGGAGACGTGCTGCGCTCGTCCCACGGGTGCCCACGTTGGGCGGGACCCAGCTCGGAGGGACTCAGCCCCTGGCCCACCCGTGGGGCATGCAGTGGGGCACCTGCGCTCTGTTCCCCCCACTCCGCACCCCCACCAGCCACCTGGGACATAACCGGCAGCCCCCCACCCGGCGCCCCCACCCACAGACACGCCTGGGATTGCTGACGGGCCCGGGAGACGAGCGTGTGACTCCAGCCCTCCCCCTCCATACTGCAGGACCCGGGGGAGCAAAGGACAGGGGCTGGGGGTGAACAGAGAGGCAGCTGCCTCCATCCCGGCTGCAACTGCAGCAGGTGGGAGCAAACCTTGCACTGCCAGGAGCTACTGCTACAGGCAGGTGGCTGTGAGGTGCGAAGCCAAGGGGCTGGGGGGGTCCGTCTCATCTGCACTGCCCAGCACCGCATGCCTTAGCCACCTGGGCAGAGCATCACCCACGGCCCGATCCCACCCGGGCACCACCCCCACAGGACTCTGCCACTTCAAAGACACTGCCTGGCCCTCCCGCCTGGCCGTGAACTATCACGAAGGAGGGGCAGTGCTGAGCCACGGGGCCAGCCTGCAGCGGGCAGACAGTCAGTGCAGCAGTGGGCACGGCCCTGCGCTCAGTGGGAGCAGAGCGCGCCCAGAACATCACAGGATCAGGCCCACAATGCCAGTTCTCCCAGGTCGGGTCCCTTGTCACCTTCCTCCCAGGCCCACGCAGGCCAGCACAACACACACACGCTTCCTGGGGCAGTCGGCCATGCCAGCGCTGCCAGGGGCAGGCACCCGCCCCCAGCCCTCTGACTGGCCTGGCTCCCTGCACATGCTCCGAGTCACGTCGGCTGCCAGACGCCATCCTCGCCCTGTTCTGGTCACTCCCTCTGAGGCCCCTGGCTCCGGCCTCTGTCAGAAGACAGGACACAGGGCTGGCCGGGCCGTTCGTACTTTCCGATGGCAGAAACCCACGCGTGCTGCGCCCGGCCCCTTCTGTTGGGGAGCAGGGAGCCAGACTCCAACCTGGCTCGTGCAGCATGAGTCCTGGGAGCCGCGTTTTAAAGGGGGCGAAGAATGACCGGGGAGGATACCGGGAAGAGCCACAAAAGTGCTTCAAGGGCTGGAGAAAACAGTCGAGAGAGACAAATAGCTCAGCCTGTCCAGCTTGGGCAAACCAGACCGAGTGACTTATTACAGCGTCCAGGCCGGGCCTTTGGTGGGGAGACACTAGGGGTGCTAAGGACCAGGACCCAGCAGAGACAGGCAGAACAAGAGCCAGTGCCTGGAAGCTGAAGCCACACAAATTCCAGCTCAAAATAAGGCACGACTTGTCACCGGAGAGGACAGAACGAGCTGCCCAGGGACCTGGTGGATTGTCCATCCCACGAGGGCTTCAAATAGAGCCTGGGAGATGCTTTAGTCAAACCCAAGCTCTTGGGCTCGGTGCCGGAGTAACTGGTGACATTCTCAGACCCGGGCGAGGTTCAGACAAGATGAGCAATGCTCCTTTCCAGCCTTCAACTCTCTGCCACAGCAGCTGGATTATTGAGTGAAACCACCCACAGGCCCAGCTCCAGCCCCAGCTCACTCCTCTCCTCCTCAACAAGAACCCCGCGGGATGCCCGGGTGGCCCCGAGGCTAGAATTCGGTGGCAGGACCTCCTCCCAGCTATGCCATCAGCCCAGCGTGACTCTCTGAGCTCCAGGGAGAGTTTGCGAAGATGCCAGGGAGAGAAACCCATTGTTCTTCCCTTGGAGAATGCGCTGGCTAGCTAGGAACCCCTGAGCTCCAGCCACCCTCGGGCTGCTGGCTTTAGCAGAGGACGCTAGAGAAACGTACACGGAATCCAGGCTCGCTTTGCTGGAGACACAAGAACACCCAGCACGGAAAAAGGAGCAGCCTCGCTGCAGTGAGCGAGACACAGGAAGCAAAGGGCCAAGAGCTCTGTCATTGGAGCGATGGAAGGGGCTGGCGGGGAGGAAGGGAGTTATTTACCCCTTCCCGTAACACATGAACCAGGGGGCACTCCATGAAATTAACAGGCAGCGGGTTTAAAACCAACAGAAGGAAGTGCTTCTTCACACAACGCACCGTCAACCTGTGGAACTCCTTGCCAGGGGATGCTGTGAAGGCCAAAGTATAACTGGGTTGAAACAGTAATTAGACACGTTCATGGAGAATAGGTCCATCAATGGCTATTAGCCAAGACGGTCAGGGACATAACCCCACGCGCCAGGTGTTCCTAAACCTGCCAGAAGCTGGGAGTGGACAATAGGGGATGGATCAGTCGGTAATTGCCCTGTTCTGTTCATTCCCTCTGGGGCACCTGGCATTGGCCACTGTTGGAGACAGGACACTGGGCTAGATGGACCATTGGTCTGACCCAGTGTGGCCGTCTGTATGCAGTAGCCCAGGGGAGGAGAAGGTTCTTGGGACAGCGTTTACCAGACTTGCCCCGTTGAGCAGTTACTCGACGAGCAGCCCCGAGGGCGTACGCTCCTGTTTTGTAGCCCTCAGTGTGGGCCGGCCCCCCTTTGTGCAGCGGAACACAGGCCATATCTGGGGCCCCGAAACAAGGCCTGGGACAGCTCCACCTAGAACAGGGAGATCCCGGGGCGGGGGGGGGAGAGGGGTTGCACGGCTTTTCAAAGTGCCATGTCGCCGCTGGAGCCATTTCGTCACCCGCCCCAGAAGAGCCGGGGTGGAGCGAAGGCGGGACACAGCTGGGCTCCCTTAGGTCTCGGCCCACCCCCCGACTCACAGCGGGGGTCAGACCTGCCGAGGTACCTGGGCTCTGTCTCCCTTGTGCTGCCTAGGAGTGGGGTGCTGAAGTGACTTTGCAAAGCCCGGGCACCAGGCTGCACCAAAGCCCTGACAGGATGCGATGCCGGAGGCTGCTGCTGGGGAGGGGTGAGCACAGCTCTGGCTAAGCCAGGGACTCAGGACGTCTCCCCCGTCCCATGGCCTGGTTGGACCCGCTCCCCCCGAGACCTGCACCCATGTGCCACAGAAGCTGCCCTTTCCCCTCCAACCGCCCCGGCTGGCAGCAGGCTGCACGCGGCCCCCAGGTGCGGAAGTCAGGGCTCCACCCAGTGACTGGCAAGGGGCACGGATTTGCTAGAGCGGGTTATTTTCAATGAGCTGCCCAGGCTGTGGAGCTGGCGAGCACCAGTCCGTGATCTCTGTAGAGCAGGCAAAGGAAGAGGGTCGGGCCAGGCCTCAGAGTGAAAGAAACTCTCTCCGGAGGACGCTGCCAGCTGCTCACCCCCCCACTTCCCCCAGCCTGGCAGCCGTGAGCTGCACTGCACCTCCGCAGGTGAATGCCGTCCGGAGATGCCCAGGAGGGTGGGGAGCTCGGCATTACCACCGATGAGGTCAAGAGTCGGATCCAGCACGACAGCTGCTGCCAGGCTCCGAGATTAGCCACCAGGCTCCGGCGCCTTCCGCTGAGACCTAAATCCTGATTAGAGGGTGTCAAGCCACAGGCAATTTGCTAAATGAATCCAGCAGCCAGGAGAGGCCTTGCCCTCACTCCACTGCCCCAGGGGGGAAGATGGAGGGGGTCCTTCATCCCATTGCCAGCCCTTCACAGGCCCATGATCCCAGCCTAGCAGGTCTCTCCCCACACCAGGGCCATCTTGGGTCACATGGGGGCAGCCGGAGCACGGTATTGCAGCCACTCACAGCTGTAGACGGTGGTGCAGCCTAGAGACACAACAGCCGCCAGCATGTGACACAGCCGGACCGCTCAGATCCAACCTGAGCACCAGCAGGTGAACGGCAGAGCTGGGCACAGAACCCTGGTGTCCTGGCTCCCAGGTCATGCAGAACGTTGGCCCGATTCTCTCGGCTCCCACTAGGCTCTTGGTCCAGCCCCTGCACCCGTGTGTCTGACGTGCACAACGGAAGCCAGCTCCCAGCTCTGCCCCTGGCTGGCTGGCGACCGTGGGAGAGGCCCCGGGGTGGTGGCAAATTCCTGGCAAACTGGACATCTTTGGGGGCAAAATCTCCACCTGGCAAATGTTTTCAGGTTTTAATTAAAAAAAAAAATGGCAACGAGGGTCAGGGTTTGGCAAGTGCACCCAGGTGTTTTCAGTTCCAGGTTTTTGATGAAAACCAGCAAGAATTCAGAAGAAAAATATTTTGCTTTCAGCAAAGGAGAAAATCCTGTCGGGAGCCTGAGACCATGTGCTGGGCGGGGGGGCGGGGGGGGGGTCCAGAGGCCCCTGCTGTTTGCCCAGGGACCCAGAAGTCCAGATTCAGAACCCAAGGGGCAGAGAGCAGAGGAAGGGGGAGGACAGTCCATCCCTAAGGCCTCGTCTACATGAAGGAATTGACCAGCAAAGCCATCCCCGGGTGACCCCCCAGCATAGACGTTCTTCTGGAACAGAATCACTTTTATTCTGGAAGAATTACTCTGCTTCCGAGAATTACTCCACTTCTCTTCCGGAATAGAGTGTCCACACAGTAGCTAGTCCGGAGTAGCTCTGCCCGTCACCTTCCCCGTGCAGTTATTCCCTTTCTAGCATCTCAGTGCAAAACAACAGCATGAATGCTGGGCCAC